ACGATGATACTCAAACCGACCGAGCTGGAATGACAACCAATCACGAAAATGTGGATGAACTTCCAACCATGTTACAAGAGATTTACATGAGTGGTCTCATGGATGATCCTATCGACGGAGAACGTACTAGTTCGGAGAGGCACAATTTGTTTAAGTTCATGAAGTTGTTCGATGATGCTCAACGTCAAGTATATCCAGAGTGTGAAAAGTTTTCCATCTTGTCCTTCGTAATTAAGATGCTTCACGTGAAGGTGTACAATAAATGGAGCAACAAATCTTTCGATATGGTTATGCAAGTTTTCAAAGACATTCTCCCAAAGTGTCATGAAAATGTTCCATGGACCCTTTATGAAGCGAAAAAGTTCTTACGTGAGTTGGGTTTGGGATATGAGCCCATTCATGCATGCAAGAATGATTGTACTTTATTTTGGAAGGACAACGCCACATTGGAGAATTGTTCTACATGTACGGAGTCTAGATACAAGTTGAACGACAAGACGGGTACAAAAATTCCACAGAAAATACTGAGGTACTTTCCTTTGACACCGAGGTTGAAGAGATTTTACATGTCGAAAAAAACAGCTGTAGATATGAGATGGCACAAAGATAAGCGTGTGGATGATGGAGTACTGCGACATCCAGCTGATGGTGAGGCATGGAAGGACTTTGATAGGTTGCATCCTACGTTCTCTGCGGATCCTCGGAATGTACGGCTAGGGCTTGCGACGGATGGTTTCAATCCATTCGGACATATGAGTACATCGTACAGCATGTGGCCCGTAATCTTAATGCCTTACAATCTACCCCCATGGAAGTGTATGAAAGATCCATTTCTCATGATGTCATTGCTTATTCCCGGACGATCCGCACCTGGCAGGGACATCGATGTTTACTTGCAACCATTAGTAGAAGAGTTAACTAATCTGTGGGAGCATGGTGTGGAAACATATGATGCCTCTACCGGCCAAATATTTACAATGCATGCAGCAGTCATGTGGACCATCAATGATTTCCCTGCATATGGTTCGTTGTCTGGTTGGAGTACAAAAGGTTACTTGGCCTGCCCTAATTGTAACGTGGATGCATCATCTCAGCGTTTGCGCAATAAGATAGGGTTTATGGGTGCTCGGCGGTACTTACCTCAGAACCATAATTGGCGTAGAAGTAAGCTATTCAACGGTGACATTGAGAATCGTTCCAAACCTGTCGAGTTATCGGGAGAACAAATACTGGAGCAAGTTAATTTGGGTACGTACAGGCCATATGGAAAGCATCCAACCAACCAAAAAAGACAACGGATTGAAAATCCAACTCCGAACTGGACAAAAAAAAGCATTCTTTTCGACCTACCCTATTGGAAAACACTTAAGCTTCGACATAACCTTGATGTCATGCACATAGAGAAGAATATATGTGACAATCTGCTTGGGACACTATTGAGCATTGATGGCAAGAACAAGGACACCGACAAAGCACGTTTGGATCTAGAGGACATGCAAATACGAAAGGACTTACACTTGATAAGGCATGCGAATGGCTCTTTCCTAAAGCCTCCGGCATCGTACACATTGTCCCTGGCAGAACGAATAGGGTTTTATGATTTCTTGAAATCAATTAAGTTTCCTGATGGGTATGCGGCAAATGTATCCAATTGTGTCACTGCGAATGGTTGTAAGTTAGTTGGCCTCAAGAGTCATGACTGTCATGTCCTTCTACAACGACTTCTTCCCACTGGGATGCGAGGATACCTTCCTACCGAGATTGGGACCACATTGTTTGAGTTTGGAACTTTTTTTAAACAGTTGTGCTCGAAGACATTGAGGGTGACTGATTTGGAGAAATTGCAAGAACAAATCGTACTTATACTTTGTAAGCTTGAAAAGATTTTTCCTCCAGCTTTTTTCGATGTGATGGTACACTTGGCAATTCATTTGCCTTACGAGGCTAGGCTTGGAGGGCCTGTCCAATTTCAATGGATGTATCCTATTGAGAGGTATAACAACGAGTCAGGAATTTTTTCTTGTAATTATAGTTCAATATGAACATACTGACGATCACGCCGATGTTTATGTGTAGGATGCTTGGACTTGTTAAAGGATTTGTGGGCAATAAAGCTCGTCCAGAAGGATCCATTGCGGAGGCCTACATATCCAAAGAGTGTACGATGTTTTGTTCAATGTATTTGCATGGAGTTGAAACGGTGTTTAACTGGGAAGAAAGGAACTACGATGGGGGTGCCAATGGCCCGGGGTTGGCGATCTTCACTCAAATTCTTCGTCCTTTTGGTCAAATCCCCAGGGCAGTTGATGTGTCCGTAGCTGACCGCGAATTGGCTCATTGGTTTGTCCTACACAATAGTTTGGAAGTGGATGAATATCTAGAGTATGCTTCTTCATCATATATGCAACATACCTTTCTTACATGGTTTTTATTTTTTTAAAGTCTTCATTATTCTAATTACTTATGACGTACTTCGTATTAACTAGGGAACACAAGCTCGTGTTGCAACAAAAATATGGAAGTTCATGCAACATTGCAACACGACAATGCAAAGAATTTCCTAAATGGTTCAAAGCTCGCGTAAGATTATGTAACGTGTTACTCTAAAGTGTGGAGCTAACGTTGAATTATTCTAACTTTGAATTGACATGACATACTTTCTTCTGTAGATGAACCAGTTGCGAAATGAAAACTCACCCGAAGCAACCGATGAGATGTGGGCATTAGCCAATGGACCTAATGCATTAGTCAATACATATTCGGGATGCATTTGTAATGGCGTCCGATTCCATACTATCGACCGTGATAACCGTCGTAAATGTCAAAATAGTGGGTTGGTAGTGGAAGGCGACCACCAAGGCCAGTTGATCAAGTTCTACGGCTACCTTTGTAAAGTGTGGGAACTGACATATTTGTTTGGACACCGGGTTGTTTTGTTCCAATGTGAATGGTATAACACCGGTAGTACTCGATCTTTGCGTGTCGAACCACATGTGACAACTGTTGATGTAAGAAGTTGATGGTATAAAGATGACTCCTTTGTGTTCCCAGGCCAAGTTCAACAAGTTTTCTACGTTCCTGATACGAAGTTAGGGCCGAATTGGCGAGTCGTAAAAAAGTTTCAACATCGACGAATTTGGGATGTGCCAGAGTTGGATGTGCCAGAATTTGATGAAGTGTTGCAAGATGATGAAAATAGTACTGTTGTACCAACTGAGCCTATTGATGATGTTGTTGTTTTACGTCGGGATGACATTGAACCGCAAATTATTTCAATGGAAGTTTCTCAGTCCAATAAGCGTGTACAACCGGAGGGTGTTATGGACAATGATTTCATCTGCGATGACGACGATGACCTAAGAATCTCGGGTGATGACGAAGAACATGAGATGGAAAGTGATTTTGATGCAGATATGGACCTAGAATTTTAACTCAGTTTGTTTCTTTGTTTGGCTTGTTTTGTTGATGTCATGAGGGCAATTAAGAATATTGAAGAAATTGTAATTTGAATTTCATGCCTACTCTTGAATTTCATGTAATTTGAACCTTCTAATTTTAATTTCCTCTACACTTTGTATGAACTGTTAGAGCAAATTGAGGATCAAATTCATACTCAGTTCAGTTTTTCCAGTCGGACACCTGTGCTGTTTGGCTGCTTTTCCCACAATTTGTGCTGGTTTGCACATCTGCTCTGTCTCTGTTTGCTGAGTTTGACAGTTCGCCGCTGTCTTTGTCCACTTTGGCTGCTTCATGCTTCACTGATATGCTTAGGTGCTAGGTCCCTTATATAGAATGTAAGTTCTTTATATTGTTACTACATACTAGCCATAATGGAAATTATGAACCATATACTATCTCAATGGTAAATCACAAGTTATAGTAAATCATGTGTTCTTAAGACTAATTGCTTCATGCTTGTTTAATCTGTGATAATTGCGTTTGCAGGGTTACAAACTTCCATTTCTTTTAAGTTGCCCGCCAAGTAGTAAATGTGTTTTTGCAAACATCACATTTGTTCCCATCTATGCATTTTCTAATGAATTGGTTTAAGTGCGAGGATCTACTGACATCATATGCAAATAGTGAGAGAGAGGTTTTCCCTTTGATATTAGTATAATAATAATTATACTAATAATTACTATTATGTAAAATTCTGTGTGGTGCTCTAGTCAACAAGCCTTCAAAGGATAGCTTAGGAAACCAGAACTGTACATAAAGCTGAAAATGCAGCCTTCATGTGAAGAACCAGTGCTCTGTGAATGGTGCTGCATAATTATGTGTGGTGCTCTAACACAGTTCAGAACATCACATGCACACAAACCCTCACGGCTGCAGCTATTACTCTCAGTTGGGAAGGTCCAGAGTTGTCATCCAGTCCAGCAATTGCTCAGTATGGGTGTCTGAAAGTCAGTCATGTCGTCGTCTTCATGTTGCAGCGGTTTGTCGAGTTACTTACTGTTGCCTTATCACGATCTGTGTGTCAAGTTATATTAACTGGGATGGTATTTCTGTGGTCTTTATGGATCCCCTATTCAGCTGCATTATTGTGTCTACCAGCTTTGTCTAGCAAGATTTTTATGGTAGGTTATGGTTACATTTAGATAGGATTTTGTTCTATGTTAAAATATGCATTTGACCTATGGTTTAAGTTGTGGAAGGTCCTACTGCAGCCCTCTGTTTATTTTGAGTAGTAGTCTCTGCTCTAGCATCTCTAGCAGCAGATGCTTCTCTCCAGGATGATAATTAGATTTATGTGTCCCAAAATTGCGCGGGGCTGCAGTCACAACTTCATATAAATGTCAAGGCTAATGACTGAGAATTTGTGCTAGGTGTAGGCCACCGCCAAGTTTGAACCAGGTAAACAGGAGGGGAATCGAACCCTTATTGGTAGCGTGGGAGCATACCCACTTTTGCTTTGATTGTAGTTGAACTCTCCATGTTTGAGGATCTGCTATGCTGGCTGGGAAAGTGATTGCTTGAGCCAAAGAAGTTTAGCCCACTGCACCTTAGGGTGCTGGGTTCTCCACAAATTCCAAGCAGATTGAATAGAGAAGCACCCATCAGAGGATGCCAGCCAAATAGCTTTATCCTCCATATTAGTTGGGTTACCCTGAACATTAGCCTTAATGTCATCTAATTCCCAGGTCTGGCACACAGGCCATCTCCATCTCCCATCATCTATAATGGAAGCAACCTTAGCCTAAGCTAGAGAGCCTACATCATAAATAACTCAATCTGCAAATCTTTCCTTCAAAGGACCAAGAGGATGCCAATTATGAAGACAAAGAAAAGTGTTCTGCCCATTACCCACTTTAAACCAATATGCTGGATGAGATCATTTGTAAGGGGAGTATGTTGCTCATGTTTGTTCTTGCTTTTGTTCGTATTTGACATGATCACAAACCATTAAAAAAACTAGGAAGACAACACTCTATGAATGCTGCTGGAGCAGATTTAGGCTCAATGAAAGGTGTATGACCTGATTTTGGGGTGTATTGTGATTGTATAGTTGCATGTTTTGGGATGTCATTTATGGAATGTTGTATTTTGGGGAGTATGTTGCTCATGTTTGTTCTTCCTTATTATGTCTCAGTTTGTTAGTTACCATTGATCGTATCTGACGAGTTCCATTTCTTCCAATGCAGGGAAGTTTCCTACCCTTGTCACGCATCAAGAACCTGTCGCGTCTAAAGTTAATGAGACAAAAGTGACAGTCAAATTCCAACTGAAGAAGGTTCTCTGCATGGGAGTTGCTGTTTTCCAACTGTGCAATTCAGTGTTAATTTTCTGGTTTCATTGTTGAAGAAGAACTGGCAAAATGTGAGTTTCGTGTCTTTTCAAAAGTAAAAGAAGTAAGTTGCCATGAATTCATGATTAATTTTACTCAACTGTTACTAGGGGCTGTGCAGCAAATCTGGCACTGCTGTTACTTTTCTGTGATCCTTTCTTCATAGGCAATTACAAACAAAAAAACCAAAACATGACATAGTAATACAATTTTACTTCTCTGTTGACTCTATTGTGCAGAGTTCCTAGGTGATTTGTGCATGCCATTTGATGTATATCCTATAGGGTAAACACTGTTGAGTGTATAATGTTCTTCCCCTCTAGGTGGCTCACTTTTGGGTCAATAAAATTTTTCTTATCAGAAAATAATAGTCACAAGCTCTGAAACATTATGGCTGAACAGCAAACTGTTCCTGTTTATTGGAAGCTTCAGGCAGTGATGCTGTGAAGCTATGCGATTCGTAGAACAAGCTGTGGGAAAATTGTAATTGGTCTCTGACCACAATGCGTAAATGTACATAAATAATGTACATTTGTTTACTGCTGTGCGAAATGTACATAAATTAAAGGGTATACCATAACAGGTTACCCATACACATCTTTCATAATCAACTATGTACCCCGGATGCCACTCCTCCATTGAACTACACCATTTAAAGATCCATTCCTTTAAACTCTCCTTACTACTCTTCAATTCCTAATATTATTGAAATGATAACACTACTATCCTTCATTCCTTTGCTCTGACTTGCACCTTCATTAAGCCTCTCTTCTTGCATTCCTCCTTGAAAGCTGGGAATGAGAAAAATTTGTGGAGTTTGACAACTAGGCTTTTATACAGCCACCTATTTCCTACTTCTCTAACCTGAACAATTGCTTCCTCCTTCCCATAGCTGCTGCCATTTCTAACCACCTCGACATAGGACTTACTCCTTCCATAATCTCGCCATCTCAGTATGCCAACCTTTTGGACGCCTATATTGACAGTCTCACTGTCCTTCAGCATCCCTTGAGGATTTCCTCCTGGTTGATGGCTCACTTTATCCCCTCTTGTAATACTTCTCTCCTCTTTGGTAAACTTTACTCGTTTGACCTTTATCTCTGTGTCATCACACCATAACCCATCTGCTCTTTGCACTGCTACCTCAGCAGCTACTGGACAATCGTACCGAACAAAACCGAATCTCAAACCTGTTAGCTTCCTCATTTTCACTGGTATAAACATGTCCTTAACAACACCAAACTTGGAGAATAAGCCAAATAGACCTTTGGGGTTCATGGACTCAGGGATGTTGTCTACAAAAATTGTAAATAGACCCCCTCCCCTACGATCCCCTGAATACCTGACTGGTCCTTTTCTTCGTACAACTGGTTTCCAGCCTCTGTTATCCATTCTGCCCTCAAGATTGTTTCTTATTACTTAATTAGCTAGAGTTTATAACTGCGAATGCCTTTTTTTTTTCGTTTGCCATAGAAATAAGACTATAATTATGAACAAAATACTGCATTAAAAACAAGTAGCTAAATACAAGCTAATGATTAATTGTTAAATATATATAACCTATCACTCCATCATGATAATTCCATAGAAACCAAGAATACTTGAAAAGTTTCGACCATTAAACCTATGTTAAGTAGAATTTCACTTCATTGTATCTTCTTTAATACGTCGCTTTGAGTGAATTTCCATGATCTATTTGGGAAATGTAATATAGATATGTTTCTATGCTTTGAAAATTCCAAGTGCTATGGAAACTTGAAGAATCCATGTTTAAACTCTAAGCAAACACCAAAGTATAGGGCCCACATCAACCATATATATATAATTTTTTTAAAAAAATAAAATAATTTGTCAAAAAGCACACTAGCAAGGCCTATTATACACTTCTTAATGCTTTGCGATCCAAAAAAGATAATAATGAATACCAAATAACGCACACCAATCAGTGGTTTTTGTATCTTCTTTAATACGTCGCTTTGAGTGAATTTCCATGATCTATTTGGGAAATGTAATATAGATATGTTTCTATGCATTGAAAATGCCAAGTGCTATGGAAACTTGAAGAATCCATGTTTAAACTCTAAGCAAACACCAAAGTATAACCGACCACCCTCCCAAATCTAATCTTAATTATAACCGACCACCCTCCCAAATCAGCACATTATATTGCGTACATGTTAAGCTAAATTTAGCTTTAACATCCAATCTCAAATCAAACACAACCACATCCATGTCATAATAACAAAATTTAATTGATCCATAATTTGTCTTCATAGATATTATAATCACAAAGTTTGCATAGACAGATGCTTTGCAAAAAAATGAGTTTTTCAGATTGATAAGGTCTTCTAAATATTTTTGCATCAACATGCGATACATGTTAAATGTTTAGTGCAATATCAATTGACTAAGGCTATCAATTTCCTTAATGGGCTTCCAAAACAAAGCTATCAATTTCCTTCTCTCATTTTCAGTTCCATCAAGCAATCTGGATTTTGCAACAGATCCAAAGTATGTAATTCCTCTTCCGCTACCCTTAAATTATGCTTTATGTCCCCAAACACCTCTGCATTACACTGTTTTAAGTTCAGCTTGAGTGCTTTCAATTTTGAAGAAATAACAAAACTAGCCCCTCCTATTATAGTAGACTCATGTCATGATTTCTTAACAACATATAGGAATTGAGGGTGCAATACCCACACATTAATGAATCTAAATTCGTAAATATTATATTCTCCATGAATTTGATTTCATTCAGTCATGCAGGCATCTTTTCTCTTTACGGTGGTAGGGACAACAGGCTTTTTCGGTGTTCTTGCCGGGCAGCTTCCTCGGGTAACTTGACATAATATCCTTTCTCTCCGATTGAGTTGATATTATTTTGTTCCTTGAGATTTCCACTAATATGAAATTATAAGATAGTAAAAAATATATATTTATTAACTTATGTAATTGATTAGTTAATAAAATTATTTTTAAACAATAAGCAAATATACAAAAAAAAAAAAATTACATGTATAGCTATGGGAACCTAATAAAAATAATTACAAATCTATTTTTAAAAATTTCAGAATAAATGGGTTTGAGTAGGAAGGACATTGCTAGATTAATGTGTATCACCATCATGTTCTCTTAGTTTACCATTGCTTAACGAGCATTTTATTATTAAGTAGACAGTGTTGTGTCATTATTGCAGCAATTACACTACTAATTTATGCGATGTTTATTACTCATGTATGTTTGTTACGTAATGTAGGTACAATGGTTCCGGGAGTCAAGACAGGCCGACGGAAGAGAGCAACAAGTGGCAACGTACTATCAACATCTGAAGCATGTCCACAGGAGAGTGGCACCCCGATGATGTTCTCTGATGAGACGCAACCACCAGATGATACACAAACTGTGGTGGAGGAGACGCAACCAGGTGGAGTGGGTAAGAGCATACTATTTAGTTGTTTAAAAAAAATTTGGTTTTTTTTTGGGGGGGGGTGCATAAGTCATCAAGTAAGGCAATGAAAACCCCATAAAGGCAAATAAAAACAAAGGAAAAAAAAACTAAACATTAATATACACATAACAAGGACACTTACACAAGAAATAAAATATTAGGTACACAACCTTCCAAGTTGGTAGCAACAGTCGGCATAACAAATTACGAAGACTTTATGCATAATTTACCAACACTTTATCCAAGTTGTCGCATAATTTTCCAAGATTGTATGCAGCCAAACAGTAGCTGCCAGCAACAGTAGTCATAATTAACGTCCGATTTAATTCCACAAACAGTAGCTGGCAGCAACAGTAGGAGCAAAAAAAAGTGACAGGACTTTACGTGCAGCATTTTCTTTTGTACTCCATTAGCAATGTTTGTAATGTTGACAACGTTCCCCTTTTGTAGTAGGGCAAACGAGGTCAACTCGTTCAAGGACCTACATTAGGCAAAGGCGTGCAGAAAAAAATTGCTAGGAAAAAGGGGGAGAATACATGTCTACGTCAATCGGGTGTTGAACGCAATCACAGGAGGGAATGCAACCCCAGCGACGAATGAGTTGGGCCTTCAAATTAGACGATTGTGCCCTCTTCAGAGCGTGAAGTCATGGATAAAAATTGATCAAAGTACCAAAGATGCGGTCATCCAAGCGGTGCTAGTATGAAATTCATCTTGCCATAATGTCTTTATTATATAATTTGTAATTCGTTAAAATTAATTGTTCAACTAATTCTGTATCTATGTTTGTAGGACAAGTTTGTTATCGGCGATGATTTTGATAACGACGAACAAGCTCAACAGATCCTCGATAGGAAGGCATATTTGCTATACAAGGATTGGAGGTACAATCTAAAGCAAGAGTTCCTCGAACTTGAGGAAAAGGGTGTTGATGACCCCTATAGTCGTCCGCCTAGTGGAGTGAGCTTGGAGGACTGGAAATATTTGATTGATGTTTCTTGGAAAGACGAATCTCACCTGGTAACAAATAAATTAGAAAGGCCATTATTGAAATTAATTTATGTGTTAATATGTAAAACTTCTTCACTAATAGATGTACAACTTCTTCACTGAAACTTAGTAAAGCATGTTCTTTTTTTTTTTTTTTTTTAATATTTTTTTAGAAACGGTCTACGGCTGGTAAAGCAAATAGGGGTATGCTCCCCTATAATCATACAAGTGGATCGCGATCATTTCCTATAGCAATGTCGCTAATGGTGAGAAGTTAATTTAGACATGTAATGGATGATTAATTCTTCTTGATTGTGAATATTACCATGTACTAATTCGTCAATGGATTTTTTCCCGAACATAACAGGCAAATGAGGATGGGGATATAGATTTCCCCGAATTTATAAGAAAGCACACAAGTCTAAGAAGACGGGAGATTGGATTGACCCCAAATGTGGTGAGCTACACGTGAGTATTGAATGTTGAAACCAAGTGTGATGCATATCAATTAATAAAGTTTTTTTAAATTCCTTCTCCCATCTTCACTTTATGTTTTTTGCATTACAGGATGGTATGGTGAATCTACAAGTGACAGCCACCGTTGCGGGGTTGCAATTGACCCACGAAGAAATATCAAGGCAAGTGCTCGGGGAAAAAAAAATACTTGCGTGGATGTGGGGTAGGCCCACAAACCTCTTCCACAGCTTCTAGTGCGGCACGAGCACGTGATAAACATATGGAGTTAATGAGAGCGGAACTGGAGGTTCTT